CCCTCTCCCCCTTTAATTTCCCCACACTGCCGTTTGATAGGAATTACTCACCTTCTACGTCTGGGCACAGGTAGTGTCTAATCTCGCTAAGAATAAACTGTATCTCGGCCTCTTTTGGTAGAGGGTTGTATGACAGTTCTGTTGGTGTATCTGTAGTGCCTGCTATCGTCTTTCCTGCGACAATATAGAAAAAAATTGCCGCTCAAGTTTACCCTGCAGTAAACTGACTCACCTTTTCAATCACTGCAGAGAATTTCAGCTCACCTTCCCATGGGAGGAAAAAAATTACACGCCCATCGCTTGTAGCAGGGTCTAGAAGTCCCATATCTGCTGGACTGTGATAAATGGAAACAAAACGATTAACACAGACAATTGTTTTGATTCAGAGAAGCCTCACTGTGTACGGGTACGTTTGTACTACGTGGTTGTAGGTCTAAAAACGAAACCCTCCATGAAAGCCGCAGTGCCGTGGCTCCCACAATCTTTGGTAATTCTGCCAACCGTCTGCCATACAATTCTTATGATTTCTGTTCGGAGAACTTATTATTGTGTCTGCTATAACCCTTTCATTGATATTTTACTTTGTTCTCATCACTTGTCTGATTGACGTTGTACTGATATTGTAAGAAAAAATTCCGTCTTGGTCCCTCATGCGAGATGAAGGGTTAAGTCTGTGGATGAAACCCTAGTGTATGATGAATGAAAGGAAAACTACTAAGCCGTACTTCCTTGTGACACTGTTTAATGTGTGGAAGAAGATAACTGCACTACCTTAAACACAAAATTTCTGAGCAGTATTTTTGCATGCTTCTCATTAACATAGTTGACTGTCGTAGAGTTCTGTCGACACAATACCTGTAATAATCAGGGAGGACAATATGCACCCCTGCACTTGGCTGACAAATATTTTTTTCTGTTGGTTCATCCATCTTACGGATGGCGTCAGTAAATGGACCAGTTGCATTCACCACACACTTGGCTTTTATGTCAAACTCTTCGCCAGTAATCAAATCTCGCACATGAGCTCCACAAACTCTTTCTTCCTCAGCACCTTCCACTGAAATACAATGTCCATAAATTTGAGTTCTGTGGTCACATTTCAATTTACCTGTACCAGATTCTCAGTTGTATAGAAGCTAGCAAGTGACTTTTGGCAGAAGTCTGAGAAGGAGTGGATGCTCCTCTTGTTTTTTTCTTGTTATTGACCTGTTTTTTTTTTTCTGAAACAGACAACGTGGTGCCAAGCTGAAAACCTCTCAATGTCCAACAATGATGGCTAATATACAAAAACTCATTGAACATACCTCTCTTTTTAAGAAGAGACAGGACCTCCACATGGTTGGCAACTGATGCTCCATGTCTGACAGCTGTCAAGCCTATTGCAAGATTCATTCTTGCATCATTGTGCTGTCCTGTGGGTGCAATCTTGATAATCTTAACATCAACAGAAAAGTGTAACTAAGCCTTTAACACCCTAACTTCAGCCAAGTATGCAAACATGTACTCTCCATACTGTTCTCTATACATTTCCTAAGGTACTGACAAGGAGAATTTGTTAAACAATCAAGAGCTTTTTTAGTTGGTGATCATTTGCTTTATTCTCCTGACCTTAATGTTTGATTCAGTTGTGATATTGTAAGGAGAAATTAGATGTTAGTCACTCTTAGGGTCCATTTAAGGGTTAACTACTATTATGATTTGGTAAAAACATCTTCTACTCAACAGACATACTTCACTAACCATCATAATAGACAATTGCACCACACAATTTCTCCTTCTTGAGCATTGGGAAAAGTTCCAAGGCCCTCTGTTTCCCTACCACATAGCTACTCTTGAGAAGCTGTCGACCGGACACAAGATCATACATCTTAAGTCCAGCCCAGAAGTAAGGAAGCTGCCACCACCTTTAGATCAAAACATTCATAAATGTTTAGTAACTTAATTCATTATATAGATACTGATGAAATACCAGGATTTCTCCTTTTACTAAAAAATCATATCTTCACCGCGCACAGTGAAGATACTATTTTTATCTTTCAAGTGTGAGGATATTGGTGTGGCCATGGTTACCACCATAATTACCAATTGCTGTTTCGAAAATGAATAAAAAAAGTTGTCTTTTATGTGGAAATTTCATCAGCATCTATATAATAAACAGAACATTACTTGGCAGCTTGGGGATACAAATTTAATCTTCTTGTGCTGAAAGTATCTCTCACGATTGAGCACAGCGAACGAGTGAGAGATACTTTCAGCACTCGAAGATAAAATTCGTATCCCTGCGCAGCCATGTAATATCCTCTATTGCTCATTACAATAAATTGTACAACCTTGCCAATGCTACAAATACTAAGTATTGGAGGATAACATAATGTTACTCTTTGAGACTACTCATAATGACCAGCTCCCAGTTGGCTTGGTAGCTCAGTTGGTGGAGCATTGCACTGGTATCGCAGAGGTCATGGGTTCAAAATCCATACAAGCCTGAATTTTTTTCAGGCCTTATTTTCACTACTGCTTAAGTAGTGTTGATCACTGCAAAGGTTGCTCTCATACTCATTTATTCAACTGCAGTTCACATATATGATGTTCATATTTTCACAAACATTTCTGCTTATGGGAGACATGATTTTCAAGGAGAAATGTCAATATCACTCTTTGCTACTTGCCTGTAGACAGGTAACATGATTGGTAATGGTGCAGACAAGTGTGGAGCAATTGCCAACAGGTTTGCTCGCTCATGTAATGCTTCTTTTACCAGGCGGTACTGTAAATGGAAAAAAAAACAATTTTTTTCCCTTCAAATCCCAAGATCTGATTGTTAATTCTCCCCTCTACCTGTTAGACATATCCTTGTAAATAAGTTAAGAGAATTTGGTGTTAGATCAAGATAACAAAACTAGTTCTACTTGATAAGCAGCTTAACATAAAGAAGAAATGATCACTTTCTCTATCTAAGAATCCACGGGTCTGACCTGCTCTCTGTCAAAATTCATGATAGCTTTCTGCAGATATCGTACACCGCCATGAATCAATTTGGTGCTGCGACTGCTTGTGCCTGAGGAAAAGTCATCCAATTCCACCAAAGCTGTACTCAATCCTGGGGAAATAATCCACATTGATCAGTATTCTTCAAAGTGTTATGGAAAACTAACCACAGAAAATTGACCATTCCCTCTAACAAAGGGCTAATGCTCCCAACATCAGCTTTTAATTTTTAAAGTTTTAACCCTGTGTTTACTATGTATATATGAAGTTCATATATTTTGAACTGCGGTATTAGATACGTATCTGTGTATACTGCAGCCAGTATACATGTTCCTTATCAACATTATCAACTCAGCCGATAAAACCAAATTTTCTTGTAATAACCCATGCTTATGCAGCACCACAGTTTCTTTAGAAACTTATCCCCTTTATTCATTTATCTGACAATAAAATGAATAACAGGGCAACAACTGCAACCCTTAAAGCAACTGCATATATCCACACAAACACACTGTGAGGAACTAACTCTTCCTCAAAAATACATCCTGAAATAATTTGCTTTGCATAAAATTTGGACCATAAACTGTTATTTAAAATGAGTACCTCTTGTGACAGAATCAAGCGCTACTCCACATCCTGTGGCACCCCCTCCTATCACCAAAACATCAAACTCTGGTGTGTTCTTCAAGGAGTTGATTTGGTCTGATCTTGGTGGCAAAGGATTACTTTGTCTCTGTGCCACTGCTGACTCTGCCGCAGACACAGACAACAGAGGGTTCTAAACAAAAGAGGAGTTTAATACAAGGTTAACTCTTTGCTCCTTTATATTGGTATGCATGTTCAGACCATACTATTCTCTATACACTGTGATGTACATACACACATACATAATTACATATACTTTATTTAACTTCAAATTTGGAGTAGCTAAAGATAAGCTAGTACCTTTGAGTTACAAGTATAACTCTAAATGTTACTAAAATGTAAAATTGTAACATTCTAAAATTTAAATATCAAAAAGAGTCATACTGTAGAATCTTGCGCTTGAAATCAGAAGAGTCAGATGTTCTAAAACAATCCAGAAGAGAGTTCCATAGTTTTAAAGCCATATATGAAAAGGAGTGAAGACCATAAGAAGTAGTTTTTGTAAACAGTAGACACAATATAATTTCCCCTTAGACTATAGGATACAGACCGGAAACTAAACATATTCCTCAGATAGCCTGAATAGCAGGTAAAAAACAAGCTCTTGTACAATATAATTAAGAAAGTCTGAAGGCGTTTGTCTGAACAAATGAAAGTCTGAAGGTACACCCTTCCCTTTCCTAAGATGCTGACAAGAAGAATTTTAACAATCAAGAGCTTTTTTTGTTGGTGATCATTTCCTTTATTCTCCTGACCTTAATGTGTAATTCAGGGGTGATATTATAAGAGGAAATCAGATGCATGTCACTCTTAGGAGTTAAGGGGTTAAAAATCTATGGTCCTGATAAATTTTTAAAATTAAAGCTGTGAGAATTTAGGCATTATTGTTAGACAAATAGTATTTCAGTATCTATTTATTTTATTTATTTAATAGCTTCACCAACCGGCAGGGACACCACAACAGCTTGCGCCAATTACTGCGGGCCCAGTAAACCCACCCATCCCACCCCAGGGGAGGACATCCATCACACAGAAATCTCGTACGCGGGAAATTAACGTCTCCTGCCCCTAACCCTACAGGAGACGGGACCTCCATTTATTCATCCCTATCCGAGAAGACTAGAATATCTAACCATTTCTTGACGTTATAGAAAGGTAGCAAATTCTTCTCAATTATTTTAATACCCTGAGTGTTGGTCCAGCCGGAGCTCAAACCCTCGACCTCACGCACTACGGTCCAGCACTCTATCCATTGAGCTAACCAGGAGGCAGTTAGCTCAATGGTATCACTTGATAGGATATAGTTAGTTCTGATGTAGTTTGATCCAGATCTTACATAACTAAAATGTGAAACAAACAGCTTTTATATTGCTACATAGAACTTGAAACAACCTATGGTTTCAGAGCACTTCGTATGAAGTAATAATGTAAGGTTTTGCAAGTTGACTGTTTCAACCTAGTACTAATACTGTGTGCCTACAGAATTGAAGAGGAATTTCATGGTGTTTACACTGGCCTTTTAAGGTAAAGCATTTTGTTTTAGTCTCATTAATTATCAATTACTTTGGACAAGAAGGGGCTCACATGGCATGCTTGAGACCCGCTCAAGCCGCACCCTTGCAGCACTGGTGTAAATAAAAACACAGCTGGAAATAACAATAATTCCTTGCTGCACGGGCGGTCATACAATATAACCTGAGGAAACTGTTTGCATTGCTAAAATTAGGATTTTTTGCACGTGGAGTCGAATACAATGACTTAAAACAAACATAAATGTACTTAATCCCACTCAACTGTAACGGATTCTTTTAGCAGAAATAAATCGACATATTCCACAAACCTGTCTTCCATTGTCACGAAACCTGTAATATGCATAAAGACTAAAGCTAACGGTAGCTGTTCCACCCAGAATACGAAGGTAAGACATTACCAAACAAGCTGAAGAACCTGTTGTTAATCAAATTGTTAAAACAACAAGCAGAAGCGCAATAAGACTTAAATTGCCCCAGATGCCGACAGCCAGCCAAATTGTGTTCGATCTTGTTGATGCAAATGGTTTTTGTTCATTCACAATCTCTTCCAACAGGAGTTTGCAACTCTCCCGTTTGCTGAGAACTAGAGTAGCAAATACAAGATTCTGATTTCAAACAAATATTGAAGGTACATTAATTCTCGGTTGAAGAGTGTCGAAAGGATCAGCTCCCAAGAGATGAACGTATGGAACATAAAGAAATGAAATGTAGCGGGCGTCTTTTCCCAGTCCTCCTCGATCAGTGAGGGGTAAACCCTTCCCAATCCCACTAGGGAAAGGTAATTGTAAATTGGCCACCGTAAAGAGTAAAAAAAAGCTGACGTTTCGAGCGTTAGCCCTTCGTCATTCGCTCTGACGAAGGGCTAACGCTCGAAACGTCAACTTTTTAACTCTTTTACGATGGCCAATTTACAATTTCAACTTAGTAGGTATAACCAAATTACCTTGTTAGGGAAGGTACGTTTTTTATTGGGGGGGAGGGGGCGGGGCTTCGGAGGGGAGGGTCATTAGTAAATATTTTACAAATTGGGGAGGGTCAAGCCTGTTTGATACGCAACCAGAGGGTCACAGTTTTGTTGTTTTTTTTTTTGGCAAGGGAGAAACTACTCCATGTCGGTTAGTTGACTTTTAATTATTTGTTACCAAACACGCTAAGTTTATAGAAACCTAAAACTTATATATGCAAGCAAAGCTACCAGTCTAAATCCACATCATTTTAAACAGATGTCGAAATATTATGTCAAAAAACTATCTTGTCCCAACTAACGTAAATTGTCTCTCTCGACCCGTGCCCGCTTTCGTCCATATTTTGACGTCGGTAATGTTTCCGCGCAGGGCTCTGGTATAAAATTAGTGTCCGGTGACGATTCGTTGCTTGAGCTACTCCATCTGATAGGCTTATATAGCCACAAGTTGCTCGGCAACTTTTGAGATTTTCGGCAACTTTTTAGAATTTTGGCAATTTTCAGCAACTTCGGGCTTTTTGAGGTTCTCTGAAGCCACTTTCTTGACGTTTTGAGCCACATTGGTCAGTTTTCAATAGACATTTATTCAAAAATACAATAATTAGGCCGCCCCTCCCCCCATGGGTTGATTTTTGTGATGCCTAATCACGAGGTCAGCGGTATCACGTTGCACGTTTTTCAAGATGGCGGACAATTACAGTGACTAGTCACTGTGACTATTTGGTGACCAAGTGAAATGGAAAGAACCTCTGATATTATCTTGGACTTTGACAAATAAAGTTTTGATAAGAAGCAATGTGCGAATTTTTAATCTTTAACACTCAAAAAAGGTACGAAAATCAGAAAAATTTTGGCAACTTTTAGGCAACTTTTTGGAAATTCAGTAACTTTTCGGAAACTTTTTGAAAAAATAGCAACTTTTTGGCAACTTTTAGACACTTTTATCGGCAACTTTTTTGGGACTCATCGGCAACTTGTGGCTAGGCCTACCATCTGACCTCATGAAATCCTCACATTCTCCAGAAGCGCATTTCCCTCTTTCTATTCCTCGCACATTCTTGCCCATTTTCAAGTTTTCACCGTGCAACGCCACGCAATTAACTGCTTTGTGCGCAGACACGGTTATGTGAGCAACACTTCCGGTCAGTTATTTTCACTTACGGTAATTTTTGTCTTGGAGGAGGTGGGGGGAGAGTCAGATCCTTTTTGATTAGGCATTTATGAAGGGTCATGCATTAATACAATCTGGAAAGTGGGAGGGCCACGACTTTTTTGCCAAAAAATTTCTAAAATAACCCGGCCCACCCCCCCCAATAAAAAACGTACCTTCCCTTACCCCCACTGACGCAGCAACAGTTTCTTTAGTCCACTACGGAAAGGTTTGGATAATATACATGCTTGTAATTACGACTTCGTTTATTGGGAGCTAAATGGATTTCTACCTTCTCTTATTACTATTCTGTCATTTCATGTAAAATCATATACCTGCTTTGGAAAACTGTCACGCTATCTTGATACGGGCTAGAATATCTCGTCGTAACTCGTGTTACTTACGTAACAGTTGCCCACTATAAAGTTCTTATATTATTGATCTTTGTTTATTGTGAGGCTTAGCAAATGCTCATTTTTTCCCCATAAATTCATCCACTCATCCTTTTTTTGAGTTTTAGTTTATTTCAAGCGAGAGCTCCCCTTGCCTATGGCAGCGATAGCTGGAACAAAATATTTAACAACTATTCACCGAAGTGGAGGTGGTTAGTGGTGGATATTTACCGAGCCGCGAAGCGGCAAGGTAAATATTCACAACTAACCACCGACACTGAGGTGAATAGTTGTTTTAGTATATACTAAAACAGTGAGATAAAACACACCACCAAAAATTGATTTTAATTGATTTCTTCGCTTGTCACGGATGCAAACTGGGACGCCACTTTTTCCCGAGTTGCTCGGAGGTAAATAGCAAAGGATATTCGGAGTTTGACTTTACACTTTACACACTTTATTTTTCTTTTTCTTACAAAATAATTTAGATTATGTTGACCTGCAGATAGCAAATTTGCTATTCGAGGCGGGTCAATCATCAACAAACATTATTTACAATATATAAAGAAAATTAAAAACTAAATAATTAGATATTGTTAAATTATAAAAAGAAGCATAGCTGGCAAATACATCAATAGTTGTTCAATAAAGTATAGAAGCAAATACATTAGTACTGAAAGCAATCGGATCAATTTGTTTTAATTATGCAGTCCTTAAGTTTAGAGGAGATCTTTTCAACATCAAGATAAGAATCTTCATTATCTAGTATCTGAAATAAAGACGTTTTAATTTGTTTATTAAAGGAATGTTTTGATAACGTTTTGAATTCTTTCGGTATCTTATTCCAAATTTTGACACCAACACGCGAGAAAGCCTTTTTTTGTAGGTTAAGTCTAGAGTACTTTGTACTAAAGAGCTGCGATTTGGATGATCGAGTATTGTAGGTATGAATATGAGATGTTTTAGTAAATAGTTTCAAAATATTAATGGGAGCCCTCTGGTTGTGCACGTCAAACATAAGTTTACTTACGGCTTCATAATATAGGAACGTAACAGGCAGAATTTTTGCTTTGGCAAATAAAGGGATGGCATGCTCTCTTCGATCGGTGAAATAGATTAAGCGCAAAACTCGCTTTTGAAGAACTAAAATCTTGTTTAAATAAGCATTTGACGCATTGCCCCAGGCAAGGAGTCCATAAGTTATATAAGGTAGAATTAATGAATTGTAAATATTTACAAGGATAGTAGAGGGAACGAAGTACCTCAGCTTTGCAATCATCCCTATTGTTTTACTTATTTTTACGATAACAGAGTCAACATGGTTTTTCCATGACAAATTTTGATCAATTAAAACGCCTAGATATTTGATATAACTTTTTTGCTCTAAACTAACTCTTCGGTTTGTCTCACAATCTAAAATACCTATTTGTGGAGAAAAATGCATTTTTTTCTGATGAGGACGAAAAATTAAGAAATTTGATTTTTTTGTATTCAATGTCAACCTATTTGTAGTTAACCAGTCATGTACGTTATTCAACTCTACATTAACCGTTTGCTCGATCGCCTTAAGATTCTTATCAGCATAAAGTATATTAGTATCATCCGCAAAGAGATAAAATTTTAGTTTATCAGAACAAAGGTGAATGTCATTTATGTAAAGTAAAAATAGAAGAGGTCCAAGGACTGATCCCTGGGGGACACCACAGGGGGAGATAAGTTTTGTTGATAAATGCTCTCCAATCTGAATTGTTTGTGTTCTATTTTTTAAATATGATTGAAACCAGTCATTTATCAATCCACGGAAACCGTAAAAGTTCAATTTATCGAGTAATATTTCATGATTGACCGTATCAAATGCCTTTTTCAGGTCAATAAAGACACCGCATGAGAAGTACCGTTTATCCATATTACGTAGTATATCTTCGACAATATCAAGTACTGCATGCTCTGTGGAATGTGACTTGCGAAAGCCATACTGTGAGGAGTACAATAGGTTGTTTTTGTCAATAAATTCCTTCATCCGGAAGTACAAAAGTTTTTCAAAAATCCTATTAAAATTAGACAAAAGAGATATTGGTCGATAGTTTGAAGGGTCGGTCTCGTCGTCACTTTTATATATTGGCGTTATTTTAGAAATCTTAAGTTTTGAAGGATAGACACCAAGGATAACAGATAAATTGAAAATGTAAGAAAG